CAGTGGTCATAATAGCAGTCGTGGCATTAGTGGTGTTAATGGTAGTGTTGGTAATAGTATTGGGTATAGTTGTAGGGGTACCTAAAGTGGTTGTGGCTATAGTGGTGCTAGTAGAAGAGGTGGTAATAGTAGCGATGATGATAATGGATGTGGTAGTAGTATCGATGTTATTAGTGATTAGTAATGGTAGTAGTGGTGGTGGTAGTAATAGCAGTGGTATAGGGTATGTTGTAGTGGTGGTGTTGGCTGTAGTGGGGTGACAGTGGTATTGCAGTGGTGCGGTAGTGGAGGTAGTAGTGGTGGCAGTAGTGGTGGTGTTATTAGTGATGGTGTTAGTATTGGTGATGGTAGTAGCAGAGGTGGTAGTAGCGGTAGTAGTGGTAATGGTAATAGTGGTGGTGATGGTAAGTGTGGTGATCGTAGTGGTAGTGGTGATAGTAGTAGTGGTAATAGCGGTGGGAGTTATGGTAGTGGCGGTTGTAGTAGTAGTGGTGGTTGTGGTAGCAGTAGTGGTGGTGGTAATAGTAGCAGCAGTAGTATTAGTGGTGGTATGAGTAGTGCTCAACATCTTTTGGTTCTATTTTTGAATAATGGCACTTCCAAAACACCTGAGTGTTCAACAGATTGGTAATTAAACTGCGAAATGAACGCAAAGGTAGAGAACAAAGGTAAAATATGATGTCATCAGACACATCAAGATTGATGTTTATCGTGGAGTACAAACCTCCATGAGTCCAGGTATCTATTGTGTGTAATAAAAACTATTAGAGGAAAATGGTTGACAATTTGTTATCATTACATAAACATTAACTTGAAGTCTCGTAACCCGGATAAACACTATTTTGTGATGCTTTTTCGGAGATCGATGTAAAGTTAATTACAAGGAGAGTTATTCGAATTTGTTGGAAATTTTTGGGCAGATCAAGCTTAGAAAAACTTTTAAGATTTTTCGCTCCTCTTGGAATTTGATTAAGTCATTTTCCGAGTTGTTTGCAGTGAATCGCTTTTCATAATGAGCTATGTCGTCGTTAGAGACTTAGAGATTTTAAGGGATTGAAGTCTCTATTCTAATTATGCTAGTGAAGGAGCATATCAAGTTTATAGCGGTATCGTAGTGCCTTGTTCGGAATGTAGCCTATTTCTAGGACAAAACTGTGTATTTGGATTGGGAAAACATCACAAAAACTTCAGATAATGAAAAAAAAATCGTAGAGTATCCCAAAGATTGGGGATGCAATAACTAATTCTAATCAAATGAGAGTTTTAAATCGCGCCATAATACGGCGACGTGAAAAAAATCACGTTACCTAAAATCACATGAGTTAAAAAGAGGTTTACAACATGACATGTAAACCAACATCTGTCATTTACGTACCCACCAACAAGCGCTGATTGGTTATTTTGCATAAGATTTCAAGTTTCCCACTCTGTTGCTTAAGGGTAGCTGGGAAAACCTTTGGTTCTCCTGGCGCACCCAACGCCCCATTAAACAAAATTACCCTGAAGTAATTTACCTCGGTAAAACTCGGTCTCATCCCAGTTGCCTTGTGCCAAATTTCTACACCTTACTGCGAATTCTTTTGATGCTTTGTCTGCTTTAGTAATGGCCTTTTTATTTGATAAATTCCAACCAAAGGGTCCCCCAACAACCTGGCCTACCATTTTTTGTTCTTCCGTTCGTTTCTAAAACAATATTTTGAAGGTTAAATGTTTGTTACAAGAAATAACTGTCTTGCGTATTACCGCAAACCGACATAATACAAAAGATAACCGAATACAATCTTTATAAATGTAATAGTCCTGTAAAGCTGTACAAAAAATTTGTAAATGAATGAATAAAACCTCTAAAAATCTAACATGAACTGAGGTAAAAATATTTTACAGTTTCCAGTAAGGAATTATGGATCTGAATAACACCGGCGATGTGTGATTTATTTGCGAAACGTACCCGCTAATTTTGTCATAAGGGCATAACCCAAACGCTCAAAAGCAACTTTCGGGTATATTAAAAATAAAACTCTATCATGTAAGCTGTAAAATAAAATGAGAGAGTGGGAAAACATACAGTAAGTGGCCGCAATCACTGCCTTTATTTGACGTAACATGTAAGCTGTAAGTACCATCAAAAACACTTGCAACTGATCATTGTTACCTCTGATAGCACTAATTCTGTAGGGGAAAAGGCTACTTTCCCGCCTTTGTTTCAAGAATATGTTCTCCTGACAACTTAAAGCGACGCCAGCATTTAATTCGTAGTAGAAGGAAGCTTAAATCCTTCCCACCCCTCCCCCATAATTTGCATCCACCACGAGTCGTTGACTTGCAAATGTAAAATAGTAGAATTAACGAGTCTGTAAAACGTTACACAAAAACGGTTGTAAGATTAATAACTTCATATGAAACAAATTAAGAGCGTTTTAGGGGTAAAAGTATTCGTAGATTAAACGGAACATGTCAAATTCAAAGGTAGCAATGGGAGCATCTGTTTGTATCTGACTAACATCTGGCAGCATGAACTTTATCGATGCATCAGTCAGACCCTCGACATTGATCAGCAAACTTTTGATGAAATGAAAATTTAAGTTAAGAACATTCACGTTTTCTACCTGGCTGTCTCCGGTGTTTCTGTTTTGACGTACTTTGCCTCAAGAGTATGCTGCATTTCGATCAGGCATTGGGCCTCTCGATTGTCTCTAAGCACAGCGATTACCTGCCTTACAAATTTGCCTGAGTGCCCTCCTTTGTTGCTTGATCTCCAAACTAAGCAGGCTGATAGTGTGCCATTTCTGTTTTCACTACTAATCTTACCAGCTTATTTCGCCTCAAGAATAAAACAATGAAAAACTGCTGTCGATTTGCACTGCTTATTTTGTTTCAATTCGCATTTCTAGGAAAGACCGGAAATAAGTCATGTGACATCATGTGATATCATAATTTTATGCCGAAGCGCTTCTGAGTAATACCAGGTAAGTTTGGTGGAAGGAAGAGGTGATTGTCGCAAAAAATAAAGGGTTTCGGGAGCTAGGTTTTAGTTGTGCTTTATTATTCTATATTCTCCAGTTTATTCGTTTATTTCGATGAATTTATATATTCGTTTGCGAAAACAGCTTTAAGTATAGTGTTGCCCTGATATCAGATTATTTCCCAAGAACAAAAGGGCTCTTTTCTTCTTGCCTTCATCAATCTTTATTCCAATGGTTAGTCTCTCGAATCGTCCTGGCCATTTCTCTCATCTCGGGTCTGCATCCCATCGAGGTGAACTTCAAACTGTGTGAAGTTTTGTAGAGAGATCGCCATAATGTTTTGATTGCGCAGGAAAAATTACTTCGGAAATCTCTTTGGAAATCGCTTCTAAAATCCCTTCAGATCCTTTTAGAACACGCTCTCTGGGTTTTATGCTTGATCCTCGTCACCAGATGTGGTGTTTATGCTCAAATAAATACTGAAACTTCTGATATCATCGCAACGATATTTAATCAACATACATATAAAATCCGACTACAGAAGACTCCTTTCTTTCTTGACCCTTGCGGTCGAATACACCACACCTATTGTATTAGGGCCTATATCTGGAGCAGATGTATTACTAAAGACTTACATTTGTAAATGGTTTAAATTTTTCCCATTTGGTTTGACGATGAGGCACGCAATGATCAAGCAACCGAGCTATCTTTACTTAAAAAATTCATGTTTTTCATGAACACAAAAATTCTAAACCTTCAGAATCAAAAACGGACGCTTGTGTGTCAGTAACAAGCCACTTCTTTGCGAAATCTTGAATTACAACATAATGGCTCTCACTACTTATTGATTAAAGAGACTTTTCTTGCACTGTCTTTTTGCGCAAGTAGATAATGATCAAGCAGACAGAAAAATTCTGTACATGATTACTTCCGGAACAGTGCGACCGGAACCGGAAACAGTTTAAAATTTCCGACAAAAGGAATTCTAGGAAAAAGGGGAAATGAAAAATTTATGGTATAGCACATAAGCATTTTCTTTAGTGTGAACGACGCGTACTATCCAACATAAAGATTCTTCATCATTTAAGGAACTATCAGCTTGAAAGCGGCATGAGTGGTACGTATCAAAATCCTTATTTAAGTTATAAAAGTACAGACATTTACTATTCGAGCGAAACGAATTTCATAAATCATGCAACAGAAAGCGTTACTACAGGTTAACAAGTGAACACTTCTTAGAATTACAACTGGGTCCAGCTCTTCAAAGCATTCGATTATTGTAAGTTGTTCCTACTTCGTTACAAATATGTATTAATTATTGCTTACAAGAATCATCGAAAAAGACGTAAAAGATACATGAGTTTGAAATGAGGATAGGATAAACATATTAGCCCGGAAGTTAATTACTTTCGGTTTCTGCAATCGAACGCATCGACTGTTGATGAAAGATCATACAAACTGGCCTGTTCACCTTCGAACTTGAAGAAAACATGCCATTGGATACTATGTAAAAGAACTGATACACGGACTAAGAAAGAAGTAAAATTCGTCAAGAGGGATTTTGTTATCATCAAACAAGCGCGAAACCATGATCCTCCTCTCCGACGCCAAACGTATGAGTAAAAGAACTAAACAAAGAATTACAAGAGGAAGGAGTTTGGTCAGTTTGGAGAGCATTATTACCAGATTAGGGGGGAAGCCTGGAAATCTTCTCTGTTAATCAACAGATTTTCTCAAAATGAATACTATAATACGCAGTTTTTTGGCCTCAAGAAAGAAAATGCATGTCTCTATTCTTCGGCATGATATAATTATTGACATTAATTTCTCTCGTAGATGTTCTTGTATCATTTTTTCGAATTATCTAAGCACCCACACCCGTCATTCTCTCTGCATCGAGGCGAGTTCCAGCTGTTTTACTCTCAGCCTACCTTTCAACCTAAATAAAGCCACTTATCAATTAGGGTCATGCATGCCGTTCGTGTTTTCCAGTGTAGTTGTGAACAAGGAAATATTCGCTTTTCTTAAGCTCATCTTTGCTCTTCAGCGTCTGAAGGTTTGTTGTTCGCTACAAGTTCATCATACATAGCCGTGGTTGCTATTGATTTTGGGACCACATACAGTGGTTTTGCTTTTGCTTTCAACCACAAGAAGGGAGAAGGAGGCATTCATATGAACAGAGCCTGGGGACATGACCAGGGAACTGCTACCCTTAAAACACCTACCTCTCTGCTTCTTCACCCTGATGGTAACTTTGATTCCTTCGGATACGAAGCGGAAGAAAAGTACGCCAACTTCTTTAATGGTGAAGATCGAGATTATCTTTACTTCAAACATTTCAAAATGGCACTACACAAGTCAGAGGTACAGTTCATTCATTCGTCTTTTTTTTTCTTCCTTTTTTTTTTGCCACGCCTGAAGCGAAACTTCCATAGGCGGACTGTCTATCACTAACTCTCATCTTGAAATCAACTCGAAACACCTATAAAACTAATTCATAACGAATAGTCATAGAAGGAAGTAAAAGGTTAAATTACTGCTGATTGTCTCGACAAACATCGTAAAAAGAACAAGCATGGGAGTATGCGGTTGCTGAAGAGGAACCCTAGCGATCAAAGCCGAGAGATTTTGGGTTTTTTATAAGTTCTCCGCTGAAGTTAATTCGCATCAAAAGTATTAGACATGATCTTTGTAAATTTGTCTTCTCCTATTACAGACATTAGACAGAAATACAAAGCTGACAGCTCGAAATGGAAAAAAAATTGATGCTTTGGTTGTTTTTGCCCACTCATTGAGGTATCTCAAAGATCGAGCTATCGAAATCATTCGCGAGAGAACTGGAGACGAAAAGTATAATGAAAAGGACATTCGGTGGGTCATAACAGTGCCTGCCATTTGGAGACCCGCTGCCAAGCAATTCATGAGAGAAGCTGCATGTAAGGTAATTGTAGAGAAGTTAAATTTGTTTGTCCCCCCCCCACGCCCTTACGATGAGTTAAGAGGTGAAAATGAAATAAGGAAAGGAAATACAGGACGAGCTAGAATACAGGTCACTCTGATGCTGTCAGTTAGTAAACATGAATGCGTTATCACAAATGTGAAAGTTTTGTTTTTTCTCCTTGGAGGTGTTCGCAAAAATCGAGAAATTTAAGTTTGAGATTAATCAGTGTTTTCTTAACGAAACTTTTTTTTGTCTTCAATAACTGTTTCTTTTTTCTTCTACTTTGGAAGGCGGAGATGGTATCAAATAAGAACCCTGAACAACTGCTTATCGCCTTGGAACCAGAAGCAGCCTCTATACACTGCAGAGAAATGAAGATGAGAGAATTCGCCAATGAGAAAGGGGATGCCACTGCATCTGACGTCTTTGCTCGACCTGGGTCAAAATATCTTGTTATTGATATCGGAGGCAAGATTGAACTTTCAGAAAAATGGACCGTTTTGACGATGTCACACTATAGAATATCAAAACCTTTTCTTATTTTTAATGGGGAAACAGTAGTGTCTCCTCTAAATCATTTAAAAACTTCCATTTGTTTGTAAAGACCCAAGGTAATTTTTCGCAATATGTGGCAAACTTGTAATGGTAATTGAACTGAGTGGAGTAGTAGGACATCGTCGTAACTCATTTGATACTGACCAAAGCGAATAGGCTCATAGCTTGTGGTTATAACCTTCTTTCTCAAACGGAGTCAAACGAAAACGACGCTGAAATTTTTAATAAATTTAGAAAATTCGTCGGCTAAGAACGGATCATTTTATAGTCAATAATGTAAAAGGCTGTTGAATTCCCAGGTAGGCGATAATGTTAATGACACAAGGTCTTTACTATCAAAAATAGAAAGAAGCAAACAGCCATGGACAGCTGTTTTAGCTTTAATGGGCTCCATCAGCATCAAGCATTATCAGTCCAAATATACTAAATGTGATCGATCGAGCTCGTAATGCGTTTTATGTTTGACTCGTGCAATATGAATGTAGGGGCTGAAGCTGTTAATTAACTAGTGTTATATCTGTTAATCTTTGATAAAGGCGGAACTCTTGACGTCACAGCTCATGAAATATTAATGAATGGAAACATTAAAGAAATCCATCAGGTGACCGGAGGACCTTATGGTGGAACTAAAGTTGACGAGGAGTTCGTGTCCCTACTTGAGAGGTTTTTTGGAACTTATCAAGTGAAAAACTTCCGTGAAAACCAACCAGCAGAATGGCTTGAGATGATGAATGAATTTGAGATGAAGAAGCGAGGGCGCCGAGCTTACGAGGGTGAAACAACCAGAATTCGCCTTCCTCGTACTTTTACAGCACTGGTTTCAGAGCAAGGTGGGCCTGATCTGGTGAGACGATTTGCAAGTTCCTGTACAACTGACGATGTCCAATTCGTCAGAAATGAATACTTCTGTATAGGACCAGCGACCATGAAAAAATTGTTTGAACCGGTTCTGAAAGGAATAGTGAAGCACCTGAGCAATCTTCTTAAGCATCGTGAGCTCCGTGGGCTGCAATTTTTCTTCCTTGTTGGAGGTTTCGCCGAGTCAGCGATACTTCAGGATGCAATAAAGAAAAACTTTCAGCGAAGGTAAGGTAAAGTTAACGTAAACGTGTGAACGGCTTGAAGTTTTGGACAGGAGAATCTTAACCTAGGTCGCATTATCAGAACCAAACGCACCGAGATGTGTTTCGACGTCCGAATTTTTTCGGCGCGAAGGGTCGTGGTCAAAGTACGTAGTTGCAAGCTATCCTAAAATTAATCAAATCGAAAGGGTACTTTTGTAACAAAAAGATATAAGTGGCGTGGTTAAATTGGAATTGACCTTTCATGTAAACATGTAAAATGACTGTCATCTTTGATATTTTTTCTCTGATCACAGATGCAGAATTTTAGTTCCAAGCAACGCTGGCATTGCAGTTGTTCAAGGTGCAGTTATGTTTGGCCAAACACCTGACATTGTCGACTCCAGAATAATGTCTACGACTTACGGCTTCGATACGTACCGCCCGTTTAACCCCAGTCTTCACCCAATTGACAAGCAACACTTTGTTGACGGCGTAGCCTACTGTAAAGATTGCTTTGTGGTTCTTGTTAGAGAGAATGACGTTGTGAGGACAGGTGAAAAGAAAGTCTTCGCTGATTACAGGCCATTGGAAGGAAGTCAAACAGCAGCTGGTTTCAGTTTTTTCACCTCGACCAATCCTGACGCCAAATACTCAACAGACGCTTCAGTTAGCAAATCCATTGGGGAGGTTGTCGTAAAATCACCTGACGTTACAAAAGGAACCAACCGAATGATTGACTTGGCGATAGAGTTTGGCGGAACTGAGATTAAGGCCACTGCAATAGACAAGAGCAGTGGGAACACTGCCACGGTATATCTTGACTTCCTGTGCAATAAGGACTAAAAATCACCGAAAATCACATGCGAAGAAATGAAGTTCACCAGTAAATGTGTGTGATAAACCTGTCTGTGTTTCAAGGAAAATATCTTCGTATGTTATCACTGGATCAAGTAGAACTGATTTATCTCTAAAATTTTGTAAACCTCTACTTTAGTCTCCGTGTTTATGGAGTCCATCATGAACAACTCCAGTATCGAAGCTAAACCTGACATTATGAAACATCTTTGAACTTCGTTATATAACTGAAATACTAGACTGGTACAATTCTTCTATTACATAGGACCGGAAAAGTGTCAAGATATCCACTAATAACAAATTTTTGATTTCATAGAAAGTCCAGTTTTGACGCTTTCTTGTAACAAAGTGTAATATTAAACAATTGTAAGTTGCATTTCTTTTGCATTTCTTTTACCTCAACAGTCAGAACGGGAAATCCTTTTTGAAAGCCGTTTTGTCCTAAAACTCCCAATAGGAAAGCTATTTATACTTCCTCTTGGTACTCTTTGTTCTCCTATTTCTTGCGAGCATTAACCAAATTATATTATCATAGATGGGTGGCTTATCAAAAATATCTACACACCCTCTGGTTTCTTCCATAGCTAATGCATCACAGATAATTTTTTGTTGGCCAAAGGTCAAAAAAAATCTCGTGACTCCTGAGAGCCTTACAAGCGCTCGAGGAATCAAAGATAATAGATAAGTTTCCGTCCCTTTCTGATCTCAGACCAGTCGCTCTCAGCCTAATTGGTTCGCGGGTTTTTTCCGTTTTAGTGACTCATGCCTGCGATCTAAAGTTTTCCCCTCGTACGTTTCTATTTTCTTAGAGAATCTTCCAAGACGGACTAACTCCGAGGTGGGTTGTGCATCATTATCGCAAGGCTTGTCCTGTTAAGACTATGGAGGACAACACATCAGCTTCACAAACTGACTTCATTGAAATTTTACCATTGTTTAGAGCACTTGCTACTACTCGTTCCAAACAGGAAGTATGGAGCCAGGGGATTAGTCACTCAAGAGTCAGAACAATTATCATTAAAGATGCTTTCAGAGGACTCATAGACGTTTCTTAAATTATTATCCATAGCCTTGGAGTTAAAGGAGACAGCTCTGCAGCTAATGCTGGAGTTCCCGATCGGCGTTTGAAGTGACACGGTCGTTGGGCCAGCAAAAACGCTGAGGATTGCTATGTCAAAGAAAATTTAAATTCTCGTTAATGACTGTCACAATCTTTAGGAATCTGATTGACAAGTTTTGTATTTTAAGACCGAGGTCGGGAGGTTTCTATCCATTGGGCCGGGATTTTTTCCTCCATTTGTACCGCTACGAGCGCGGTGGGTTTTATTCTTCGTCCTATATGGATGCTTCTTGGTCCTCGCCCAGGCCTGGGTTCTGTTTTTCGTAGACTACTTTTTTATATACACATCTCCAGTCGTTGTACAGGTCTTATTCAATTATCAAGCCGTGTGGCCTCCAGTGAGCACGTGGTAGCAATGTTAAGTTCTTTCTGTTGTTGTCACGCACGGCTACGGTGGTGTCAGGGAATTTAGACGTGCGCTGATATTCTTATTATGATCTGAAGATGCATTTGAATCACAATTATTTTGTTTTATAATCAAGTATTGAACAGGTTTCAATTTAAAGGAACTTTAATCAGTTTGATTTGAAAAAGCCAAAGATATGGCACTTTTCTCAAAGGAAACAAGAGAAAGCAGCAATTAGAACAAAATTCTACAAATTTCTTTCCGAAATTCCTCCCGAGAATGCACTTAGTTAAATTTGTCCGTAAATTCAGCCCTCTTTCCACAGGTAATTCCCCATAAAGCCTCAGTATTGGGCAAGAGTAAACGGCTAATCTATTGGCCTTCAATTGAGGCTGATAAATTGGATATAAATTATTTCTTTTCTGCTAAAATAAAAGTCCACACTTGTTCACGTAGAGGACTGGGCTATTTCAAAAACAAAAGAAATATCGAATTTTGTGCTTCAATTATTATAACTCTTCATTCTTGTAATAACCTGTAAGAAAACAGCTCCTACACTTCCTGCGTTAGATCTATAATGATATATTGAATCCTGCTACGTTTTTAAGCAAATTCTTCCTGAAAGAGGTAAGGGCAAAGTTAGGTATCTTTATTAGGGTTACATTTTCCACCAAAGATATCATGTGTTCATCGTTCAGAGGAGCTTTACTTGATATTTCAAGTGAAAAAAAATTAAGTAAAAAATACTTTTATCAACATTTCAAAACAATTTCGAATAAGGGACAGCGCTGTATTTGTACTATTCGATTAATATTTGAGGGTAAGAAGCCTCGTCATTTTTCCGCCATTCAGTGTCACTTATTTATCCTTGTTACACCAATTTCAACTCAGTTTCTATACCGCTTCGGCTTTCACTTTACAAAGGACTTCTCCACGTCGGATGATTCGTCCTCCTCCGTCTAAGAGTGCTGGCCACAAATAACAAGCAATCTCATCATCGGCGGCGCCTTGTCCATTTGGAGGGGGCCTCGAACACATCTCTGGACTACTATGGTATCCCACCATCTTATGGAAACTTTTTAAAGTGGTACACTTATACTCCAGTTGCATGGGTGGAACCTGGACGACCATACGCCAAGTTAGCAGGATGCACGCCTTAATGTAGTCCTTGAGTTTAAACAGCAAATGATCGGAGAAAGAGAATTTACATGATTTTTCGCTGGCGAGCCATGATGTCCACTTTTCTATGACTCTTTTCTGAACATCCTGAAAAAGACGCAATATTGTGCCAATTACGAGTGAAACCTGGTGTACACTGGCCAAATAGCCTAAAGAGGTCAACTTTGTTTGTTTGGGAATACATGTTCTTCAAAATTAAAAGTTAAAAGAGAACAGGATCATAGTGTGATCTTTCTTACATATGACAGAAAAACTGCTCATAGGATATTCTCTTGATGTACTCTGCAAGCATTTCCTAACCATTGGTCCACGAAAGCCCGCTGTGTGAGGCCTTAACCACGCAATAACGTGTAAAGTGTTATCTCCTACGTACTCTTTGTGGTGTTTTACGCGGGCTACAAATCGACTCTGATTCGTATATGCGAAGAGGACCTCACAAACTCAAGACGATTATGTCTTTTATAAGTCAGTATACACCATGGCCGCCTAATTTTCCATCATACTCGACTTTGCAAGATTAGCATAAATATTCAACTCGCCATCTTCATCAATGCCCATTAATAAATGCCTCGTTACAATTTTCTTTCTCTCTTTCGGCTATTTCTTTCATTGATCACACATTCTGATTCGTTTGCACTTTTAATTTTAAGTTTCAGTTCTATTGAACTTGCTAAGAGCTCCCTGGCCGAACAGAATTGGGACACAGGCGGTGATTTGGATTCTCACCCGGGGTGGCCAGCTCTCACCAATTTAAAAAGCTGGTTTGAGGTCAATTTTAAGGCATTTTAGAGGGTCTAAGACCTCATTGCAAGCTTAACGAAACGGACCAGACAAATGTAAAGAGAAACTACTTCTCACTAACCAAGTTCGAGGTCAGTACAGTAAGTTAGGAATATAGTTTTTTTTTCCATTTAAATCTACTTAGGGCAGCAAAAACGAGGTTTCGTAACTTACAGTGCGGACCAAGAATACGAAGTTAGTTAAACTGGTGACACTGCACTTGGCGATTTTATTCGCCGATCGCAGCGAATTTGATCACCAGCTGATATGCTAGGTATCCAAATGATATCGGCATAAAAATAAGGTTAAAGGCAGACTGACACGGACTCCCCATTTGGCTTTGTGGTCACGTGGCATTATCGCCTTCCAATCATATTTTTGATCTCACAAGCATGTCTTTAAGGGACTTTCCCTTTTTGTACGATATGAGCTGTATAAGATGATAGGAGGCTTTATAAGAATTGAATGGGAATTCAAAGCAGTTTACTATATAGCTATTTGTAACATACCTCTTTCATGAACTCAAGGCTGCAGAGGAGCGCAGTTTCTTTCAAGGAAAGCAAGAGAGTATCTAGAACCTCGGTCGGGTACTTCAATTCCTGGCTGTACATTGGTATCTTCAAACTGACTTTATGTGACGATAGCTTGAACTTCATCAACACATGACAGAGTAAAAAAGATGAGAATTAAACTGGAAATTGCAAAGCTCGAGCAAAATATTTTGTTACACTTGGTTATATACGTTGGTTATGGTTCTTGATAACCCATGCTTTAATTTGCGTGCGATTCTATTGGCTACTTTTCGTCGCGTGGTGCAAAATCACCGGACAGTTATTGAGCAATAACCGCGTCTTTGTCGATACTTGTCACGCGATTATCTCTGTTATAAAGGGAAAAAGCAAGCGGAAAAAAGCCAACTCAAGAGTTTCACTGTTCATCTTTATTACTTTAAATGGAAGAAAACCCGATAACGTTTTGTAGAGTCCAGTGATACGAAAAGGATGATCCCTTTGAAGTACAAAACGAAAGTACGAAACGCACGAGCAGTTCATACGATGTAATTATTTATTATCAGATTCTGGCACAATAGCCTTACAAGACTTCCGTGAAACTAATTTAGTAGTGAAATGAAAGGGTCAAAATTTAGGAACAAAAGACAACTTTAACGACAACACCGAACTTTATAAACTACTGGATCACTGTTTCAATCTTACCATGTCTTACCATGACGGTAGTTCTCGAAAAAGGCACAGAAAACCATTCATTTTGGATTTGGTTCTCTATCATTTACCAAAAATTAGGTATTGATTTAACCTGACAAGGAACATGAGTTATAACCATTATCTCAGCCGGATTAACGAGATAGAGCTTATTTTGCCAGCTTTAGTATAAGAATTTACTGCATACCTTTTCCGAACGCAAGTAAGCTTCTCCCAGTTCCGCAGCTTTGTTAATCATTTCATTGATTGCTTCTCTGAAAACATGAAGTGCTGAGTCCTTTACCTCTGTCGTCTTTTCGTAGGCCGCCTTTCAGGAAAAAAAATTCACAAGTGTTCCTAAAAGTTTGATTTGAAGGGTTACGACAGTAACCAGCCATAATCACTAATATTAAAAATATTGCAACTTTCTAGCTGTGGTAAAAAAGAGAACAAAATGAATATTTATCGATTTTTCTCACCTCGAATATCATGCAGGCTAGTCGAGGGTAAGAGATACCGATGTCGTTGTCTTCCTCAGATCCATAAACGTCTTGCATTTTTTCTATCGCGTCCATTCTCTCGCTGTCGAAAAAATCAGCGAAGTCTTCTTCCACTTTCGAGGGTCTATTTGCTGCCGCCGTGTCTTCCACCTTTCTCTGATCCTTTCTCACCAGTTTTTCACTAAGATGAGCCAGTCTTGGGAAAAAGAAAAAGCAAGGTCGGAAAAGTAAACCAATTTCCATTACCTCTACATTGTTAAATAGCCAGCACTCAGTCGCACTAGTTTGACAAAATATTTTTTTGCATTCATCAGAAATCTCGGAAATTTTGTCTTCACAAAATCTTTGGGAAACCCGATGGTAAACAACATGATAGTAGCGGAGGATTAAAAAAAGAAGGAGCTTTTGGTCTAAAACAGAAACACGTGGGCTCAATTTCTGCTGCTCCCTCTGATTAACATGTCTGCTAGATTTTGGCCTAGAGTTTTTTACTTGATGACCGCACGTAGAAGGACTTACATTCGAGCAAATAATGATTATTAGAAAACTTTGAAGGCTGTATGAGAATTCTGTGTTGTAAGCAGAATTTCAACAGACATCTACAATTGTTGTTTCCAGAAGTGGAAAATTATGAATCCAATGTGGCGATACAATTACGGATTATTTATCTAGAATGTCAGAAATTTAATTTGCTACTTCTTCGTTCCCATATTAAAAAATAAAAGCAATGTTGAATGGAAGAGTGCTTTCGAATTGCGGTATGCATTTGACCTTTAGCTTGAGTCACGGAGAAATCCAGAATAATGGTAACCATCCAACTCCACAGAATAATAAATGCATACCTCGGGCGCAAATCGTAAATACCTCATTTTCATTTCCCTCAACTCTTCATCTTTACTTTCCAAAAGGGCTTTGCATTTCTCTTTCAGCTCTTTCTCCCTGAAACAAGAGTAAAACAAACAAAACTGAGTACGCGGCGAAACAAGCAAAATTTATTAAACTTAGGCGAAACAAAATACAATTATTCCATTCGTTATCATCTTGAGTACTGTAATTCCAAGCCATCTTGTTCTTGTATGGGAGAGGTTGTTCAATTGCAGCCCGTGACGTACTGATACAAATGAAAAAAAGTTCAGCTCCTCTCTTTCATATGCTTAGTCAAAATGGAGTTTAGACCGTGTAAATGCTTCTGGCAAAATATTAGGATCAATATTAGTATCTGGGCAACTTCCCACCTACCCCTACCCTAATCCAACATTAACCCTAACTTGTCATCAATTGACTGTTGTTGAGTTAGGGGAGGGGTAGGTGGGCAGTTGCCCAGATACTGATATTGATCCAAATGTTACTGATTCATAAAAAAGTTTTTGATGAAAGCCTCACTTAGTCATGAAGATGTTGATTGATGTCAAAAAGCTATCTTTACCACCGGTCACCATTTAATTGGTGCAGCATTATTCCATAAACTATCTCTCTCCAGTCTTATAGTTAAAGGAAAATTTTGAACAAATTAATCCTTAAATAGAATAAGAGAGATGGTAAGTTTTGAGCTTGGTAAAGAAATAGAGAAAGATGTGTTTCGTCTTGTCAGGAGCGTGGAACAAGGAAAAAATTCTGAGTCCCATTCTGAGTCCCATTCATTCGTTTCCTTACGGCGACTCAGAATTTTTTCTTTGTCCCACGCTCGTGACAGGACGAAAAAAAATCTGTCTCAAATTAATCCTTGTAGGATGGAAAGACGGAAGGTCCTGAAATGAGTAAAACCGAATACTCTAAGAAGCACTTTATGTTCAACAAGAGGTTACATGGAGCCTATATTCTGGCCGGATTTGCGGTTCAGAGTGTTACGGGAAAAATTTACTGATTTTTCCCGTGTGTGTTATTCGAAACATATTTATTCGTAAACTTTCACATTTAACCATTTCAAGTCCTTTCATTTTAAAAAATCCAAAAAATGCATAAAAACCACAGTAGCTTTTGATTAGTTTTTGTTGTTACTCGCTTTCATCATATGCACCTGGTTGTCGGCACTTTTGTTTTTTATTACATGGTTTTTTTAGGTAAATATAAGTGTTAATGGTCTTTCTGGAAACATTGGTTTTCATGGTAGATAGCAGCTGAGTTTATACTCGTAACTTTAATTTCTTTTCATGCGATGGTTTCCAAACCAATCTTGCATAGATAAGCAGAAACTTTTAATTGCTTTCCCGTTTTTGTTTCCTGAGCTGCGCTACTGCAGTTAAGATAGGTATTGTTTTCTATATCAGAGCTGTAAATTCGCACCTAGGTTTCCTACGTTAATGGCCTAGAGTTTATTGCATCCGTCTTTTTAATTTTGAGATTCTTTCCGTCGTAGAAACAGATGGAATATTTAAGTAGTTTTCGTTTAACTTCAAAGAGACCTTTTTCCGCTCCTTTGTGTCCTTATTCAAATATTGCGATTTGTGTAACAATAGCAGTTCACACCAGTTACTTCTTAAGCAAGTACCTTGTACAGCTTTGATGATTACAAACTAGAGTATGCTAGAGGTCATGTCGCTTGTTGGCCTGACCTAGAATAAAAGTACTGTGGAACCAAAGATTGTCTTATCCTTGACGTCCGTATAAGCTCGCTCGAAGTAGATCTCCGTGTACCAGGAAATCGTGACGAGTTTCCGTTCTCGCTGCCAAGTCGTCTCTACAGAGTTATTTCCCCCAGTTGTTATTGTGCCGTCCGCGAAGATTCAGTTTTCCAGTTTTGGGGCGAAAACTTATCGTCACAAGAGGGAACGAATTGAAGGCCTTCCGGTTTTTAGCAAAATCGCGGTTGAGTGCTTTTCATTTTTACTGAACATGGAGAAATGTGAAGATTAAGACTTTGGAACAAGTTGATGCCATAACAAATTGGAAATTCTAAAATCGCCAGGTGAAATGCGGGGACTAACGTAAGTACCGGTACCACAGAAAAGGAATAAGTCACTTTGTGACTTAGCTTGAGTCACAGAGAAATCCAGAATGATGGTAACCATCCATTTCCACAGAATAATAAATGCATACCTCGGGCGCTCCACAAAAACAGTACTAAATAGAATCCTGTGTTTATCAAATTTCCGGTAGCAAAGTTCATCAAATTTTAACGCTGCGATTCAAATCTTTTTCTGCCCACACAAGCCAAATTCCCCTATTTCCATTCCCATGTCAAGTTTCACCTCACAGTCGCTCAATAAATATTTGCATTTGAACGCAATGATCTTTTTTTGCCATGTTTTCTTCCGCTTACATCTGATAAAAAAACCTCTGAAGTTTTCTGCCTCGAAACGATATACCACAAAGGCATTTTATGGACCGCTAGTTTTTGAACTGATTGAAATTAAATATATGTGGCAGTGACTTTCACAAGTTTTTTTTTTTTTGTCGTAAAAGTATTGTTTTTTTCGTCCGCGAAAGTAATCTACTGATCGATCCCATCGCCGATGTTTATATAAGATAATTTAATTAATTAATCGAATTAAATCAATCAGCCAATAAACTTTAGCTGTTCCCACGGTTGTTGTTTTTCATCAATACGTTAACAACTGAATTGATTCCCAGTTTTAGGTTTGTGCTTTAAAAAAGTATTCTAAAGTTTACTCGAAAGATAAGTGTAAACTGTAACAAGCTTGGTTATCGTTTATGCGCAGCCCAGCACTTCAAGCCTGAATACACTCGATGCCAAAACTCCACCTCGTTCCCGGGCTATGTCCACCACATTGCTTTACGCCAATTAAAAACTGACATGTAGCGCCTATTGTGCATTTTCCTGCAGAGGAAAATCTTATTCTGGCCCGTCTACGGCCAGAAAAAAGTACAGACAGAAAAAGCTCTGCAGAGAGGAAAAATTATGATGTAAAAAAAAAAAAAAAATGAGGCAGACATTGTATTAAAGGAACGACTATTCACCTGCAACTCCTATTCTATTATTCATCCAATAAACATCGAACTACTCTCAGATTGATTTGGGTTTATCAACTGTGTTGATATCGTAGATTGACTACTGTATTGAGTTTCAGCCCGACGAAGAGCTAAGACGAAGCGCTAACGCTCGAAACGTCAGCTTTAAAACTGTTTTACGGTGACCAATTGATGTTATCAACGCAGTTGATGATAGTTAACTACCCTGTTATACTCTCCCACCGACACAGCACCACAGTTTCTTTAGAAACTTACCCTTTTTATTCTCTTTCAGACTGTTCTCGTAGGGGGGGAGGGGGGGTTATTCCGAGATATCCCTCCTACTTTGATGTCCCCTATTTAATTCTTTTCTTATTGTTTATTTATTCTTCATTTTTTAATTACTCTTTTACTCTTCTATGTTTACTTTCTTATGTAACTGAGCAAGTATCCGCCAATGTGACACCTTTCCACTACATCACAAGCCTTGTTTAAAATGTGGATAATTATGAATCCAGTTCGGTGATACAATTATGGATTATTTATCTAGAATGTCAGAAATTCAATTTGCTACTTCTTCGTTCCCATATTAAAAAATAAAGGCAATGTTGAATTGCGGTATGCATTTAACCTTGAAGATCGCTTCTATTGGCAAATCGTAAATACCTCATTTTCATCTCCCTCAATTCTTCATCTTTACATCCCAAATGAGCTTTGCATTTTTCTTTCAGCTCTTTCTCCCTGAAAGAAGAATATAAGAAACAAAACTGAGTAAGCGGCAATACAAGCAAAATATTGAGTACTGCAGTTCCATGCTATCTTGGTTCAGAATGAGAGATGTTGCTCAATTGTAGCCTGTAACGTACTGATACCAACAAATACAGTTCAGCTCCTCTTTTTCATGTTCGTAGTTTAAATAGAGTCTAGACGATGGAAATGCTTCTGGAAAAATGTTACCGATTCTTAAATAAGTTTTTGGTGGAAGCCTCACTTAATCCTGAAGATGTTGATTGATGTCAAAAAGCTATCTTTACACGACCGATCACCTTTTAATCGGTGCAGTACTGTCCATCAAGTATCTCTCTTGAGTCTTATAGTTTATGGATAATTTTGAACAAATTAATTCTTGTAGGATGGAAAGATGGAAGACCTGAAAGGAGTATAACTAAATACTTTAAGGAACGCTTTATATTTAAGAATACGACCAGAAGGAGCTCTGCAGAGAGGAAAAAATGTTGATGTAAAAATAACAAAACACAAATGAGGCAGACATATTACAGGAACAATGATTCATTGCGCCTCTTATTCTGTTATTCATCTAATAAACTTCGAACCACTTTCAAATTGATTTAGTATTATGAACTGTGTTGATAACGTAAATTGGCTATCGTAAAGAGTTTCAGAGCGACGAAGGGAACGTTATCAACTCAGTCGATAATACTAAATTACCCTTTTTTACTCTCCCACCGACACAGCACCACAGTTTTTTAGAAACTTACCCTCTCTGTTCACTTTCAGATTGTTCTCGTAGGGGGCTTAATCTGAGATATCCCTCCCACGTTGTTGTCCTCTATTCGATGTTTTTCTTATTGTTAATTTATTCTTCATTTTTCAATTACTCCTTCACTCTTCTATGAGCAAGTATCCGCCAATATAACACCTTTCCACTACATCACAAGTCTTGTTTAAATCTCTGCGAGTCCGTTAAAAAAGTTCAGTCATTAGAATATTACCTTAATTTCATTTGATTCAGCTCTCCATCTCTAATAGAAATTATTGACTTGGCATCCTCTTCCATTCGGTGAAGGCTAGAGAGATCAAATATCGAAATTGAAAATAACCTTATTTTTGGTTATTTGGTTATTGGTAAAACATTGAGCGGAACTATCATTAACAAACTGTTGGCAAGAATGTGCGTACTTCGGTCTTGATAGAATCTCCACGAGGTTTAGATTGAAAACAATCGCTTTGGAAGACAAACGTTGCAAGCCTTGTGTAAATTGCTGCCAGTCCGTTAAAAAGTTCAGATACTAGAATATTACCTCAATTTCATTTCATTCAGCTCTCCATCTTTTCTGGAAATTATTGACTTGGCATCCTCTTCCATTTGGTGAAGGCTAGAGAGATCAAATATCGAAATTGAAAATAACCTTATTTTGGTTATTGAAAATAGTCAAATAATAAAAGGCAGCAAAACTTGCTGTCTACTCGCGATACGAAAATTCATGAGAGAGTTATTGAATATATAAACCCTTTCTGGCTGGTTAGTATATCGGCTGATAATGTCCTTGGCTGAGAGATTGACCTCAGAATCTTACATGTGCCCTCGAGGCTTCGCTTCTCAACCAAATACTCATATTACGGACAATGATGGATAGCGGTTCAATAAACTGATCCAAGCTAACAGTAGCCTTGGCTCATAATCCGACCTCGCAAGGGGGGACCTATAGAAAACGTGGTGCTTCTTTTATCCTTTAGTAGTACCTGTGCTGTAGATTATTGAGCTCTTCGTTTCTCTTTAAAGTCATTTCCTGGTACTTTCTTTCCATCTCCTCAAACCTCAAAAGATCACAAACCTAATCTTATCATAATGTGGAACCAAACTCAGAAGAAAAGACAAATGAGTTGAATTGAGAACAGATATACCAATTCATTAAAAATACAGGTATTCACCACGGGCTGACATTTATCATTAAAGTTTTCTTTTCTTAGTTCGGGCCCAATTAAAACAATCCGGATCAATTTAAAGAGGTGTTTCCCATTTCTAGTTTCAGCTTCGTTTCTAAAATGATGTCTCAGTTAAAAAAATACATGAATAAATAAAGTTTTTCCAAACCTATCATGAGTAAAACAAAATATACAAATTATTAGCTTAGTTTGGTGTAGCTTTACATCCACTTATGACACATAAGTATACCTTTCAGAGTCCTCCTTTCCTTCAATGCTGGTTTGATTAAAGAAGAAAAGAGTGTGTGTAAACATTAGTTACATGTATTTTTAAACGGCAAATGAAACAATTTTGACTTGAAGTGATACGCAATAACATACAGAGAGGAATAAATAAGGCTCAGTTTCAAGAAACATATACAACCACGTATATAGTTATTTTTTCTTGCACGTCTAACAACTTTTATTTTGGCTTTCCACTATGATATCGACATAATTCTCTACACTCTGCACCTAAACCTGTTCAGTAAGCCTTAAAATAGATAGAGAACAGAACAGGAAACCAGACACCTGTGGTTATAAAACTTGGAGCTCATTGAGGGAGCTTGACAGGTGAAAAACGACTCCTCGCCCTGGCAGTTGGGTAGAAGATGCAGGATTACCGTGAGGAATGTACAGTACGTCGCTTTGAAGTCTAGTTATTATTTATTTGTAAAGACTTGCGATAAAACTGATAGTGAGACTTACTCTGTCATAGTTGACACTGATACATTTGATGTCGGTTTGCCATTAAGGGGAGTTTCACTGTTGATAAAAATCGGAACAGGAAAGAAGTTAAAATTGACTGAAGTACTCGAAATCCCCTTATTTTCTTTTGCAGTTCTAAATAATAAAATAACGGGCTAAAAATTATTAAAAATTCGAATTGGTAATTTACTCTTGAACTCATTAAAGTTTACTTACGCTTTTGACAGGCACGTGTTGCATAAGCCGACATCAAGCAATGGCAGATTGTTTAAATGTGTTAATTTCTAATTAAACAAGTTCACAATGTACAAGTTTACGTTAATAGAAATGGTTTGAATTCGAGATTCGTTTCCGGATATCTACGCTAGTAATATCTGATTTAGTTGCAGTAGTTTAAAGATAAGGTTTGGGTTTGGGTTTAGTTCAGGGACAATGATCGAGTTTATGTATATGCTAATATCAACTTGTTTTCTAGAATACAATTTATGCTTTCCAGAGGTAACTTTTATTAAGAGGTTCAATCAATTATTTTCAATCTTGATCTAGATGTAGCCTTTCACTATCTCGTCCAAGGAAATCTGTGTCTTCCTGGAAAATTTAGGATTACTTATTTAGTACAACGATCAAGCGTCTTTTTGCTACTCGTACTAAAGCCATACCAAAAAAATTTTTTTACAACTAGTAATCCTTAAATTGTGGTAATTGTTTCACAACTTTTAAGGTGTTATTCTATTAGTGTAACTGGGATACTAGTTGACATCCAACAAAGTGGGTGTAACCGTCGGTAGGCTGTCATGTCCAAAAATAGACCGTTTGTACTTGTTGAAGATTACTACTGCGAGGTGACCTTTAACCTGAATTTCTGTAAACGTATTAATGGTCAACTTAAATATATATTTTTTTTTTTAACTTGAATAAAAGGTTGTAGTAAATAATTTTTAAATTGCTCACTTTGGTTTATTTTGACCATACATCTTAAGGACGATAGTGACAACTTGGGTTGAAAAAGATTTTAACATTTATTTTCGAGAAAATCGATAATAACTGAATTCTGCCAAAAAACCTCTTTTGAAGCTCAAAATTTAAGGTCAATCTCGGAACGTCGCGTTACAAAATGAAAAAACTTGGACTGATAAAAAGTACCAAATCTCCAAAAACAACATCAAAATATTTGTTGACAACAATTTGAGCAATTCTTGACCATTTATTTGCACGATATAATTGAATTTATCCGACCTACTTCTGACTTGTTTAAAAATTGGTCAAAAGTAACCTGTCCTTTAAATATGTGCTACACAAAATAGTTGACTGAAAATCTGGCCTCAGAGTAATTTTTCGTTTTTTTGGCCGGTTCAGGCAAAGACTGATGCCTATTACCTTGTCATAGTCGACATTCTTTCACTTGAGTTTCGTTTGCTTTCAAGCCAAGATATCCTGGTGATAAATGTCATAACAGTAGAACATGGAATGAGCTTAATGATTGAGGCATTGATGGTTTTATAGTTATACTTCATTAAACTGTTGAATCAAAAAGCAACAGAGCATTCAAGACTGCCGATTCAAATGAGTTTTTTGTAGAATTAGAACGAGGACATTTTTTCATGAACTGATCGGTGGTGAAAAAAACAATACATGCACATGGTGAACCAAAAAAAATCAGTGCGTAGAAAAAACTACATTTTTGCCCATCTTCGAGGGACAGTAAAATGATTTTTCTCGGTAGAAATGGAATCAAACGGAAGGCCCTTATTCTGGCTGATGAATAGGCAGAACATTGACGTAGCCTGGTGCTAAGGCAATGATTAAACCTGATGTGAATAAAGAAGACAAGCAGTTGCGAGAGAACGGTGCCAGAGAGACTCTTCAAAGTTTCATTTTTTGCGTCCCGGGGGTGTTTGTGTCGCCCATGTCCTCAAGAGCTGGCTCAAATGGGGATGTGAGTTGCGTGAGAAACAAACGTGTTTCACAGAAGTTTCACTAACTCGTTATACTTTCTTTTAACGAAAAGGAAAACGCCATGTTAAAATGGTTTCAGTAGTGCGTAATCGATCTACATAATTGTGTATATTTGTTTTTTTCTGTTCCTGGTTATCCTTCTTACCTTTCCTGAGACTCTTTAAGTTCATCCTCCATGGCTTTAATCTCTGCTATGTACTTGTCGTTACTACGAAACAAATTATACTGTATCTTAAGCACAGATCAGCACGTAATTTTGCCCTTTTTAGTTAAAACATAGAGCGGAGCTATCATTAACAAACTGTTTGCAAGAATGTGCGTACTTCGGTCTTGATAGAATCTCCACGAGGTTTAGATTGAAAACAATCGCTTTGGAAGACAAACGTTTACGCCATTTAAACGCTATACCATAGTTCCAGTTGACTAATCATTCTCTGTTGGTTACATTAGACGACTTCTTTATCTAGATTTTAGCGTTTGGTATGTTTCATCATGGCTTCTCGAAGTCAAATACATTTATTACTTACCTTGATTTGTAACACTCTTTTTGGGTTTTGTAATGGCTTAACAATTCAGAGATCCTGTAAGATAGCAAAAACAGTATTGAACTAAGGTTAACAAGAACGCAAATTGCATCTACCATGAGCTTACACGCTCCAGTGAAAGCAAAAAAATTGAGGTGGCTGTGAGCCACTGGACCCGGAAAAATGAAATATAAAGAGGTGAAATTTCGAGTCCACTAAACTGACTATTTTAAATTTTTGGTAAAGGAAGGTCACGCTTTAACTCTCTGCTCTACTCCAGACTATACTCGGAAAGCACGTTTTGATCTCTAAGTGATAGATAAGTGATACATAGTTTATTGATAAAGAAATACATAGGCATCTGAGAGCTGAATTGCGTATTTAACGTCAGTTTTATAATACTACTCATAAAGTTCTAATTCTAAAAATATATATACACTAAGTATAATAATAATTACGACGTTATTAATCTAAATACGAAAAATTGGTAATTAAGATTTAAAACTGTGATTTAAGTGTCAATAAACATTATTCTTTAAAAAGATATCAATGAAAATGTGTTTCTGAAGAGATCTGTTTTCCAATTTGGGGCTGAAAAACGCCTATTGTTTCTGAGCGAGTACTCTTATTAAAGTGCATATAGCGGGTAAAAGCTTACTTTTAAATCTCTTCTCAGATTTCAGTTGATTCCCAAGCAGGAATTAAACACGTGAAAGCCTTATAGGCTAGTTAGCGAACTCACCAAAAATTTAATAAGAATTGAAGGAAAGAGTGACGACGGAGTGATGGATGGAAGGAGAAAATTTGGGATCGTAACAAAAGCTCAGAGGATGGCTTTCAGCCTTCATCGAAAGGAAGAAGGAAAAGATGAAATTTTAATTTCAACGTACAGTTTTTTCCCAACTTTTCCCATCTTTATTAAATTCATTTTTCAGGTGAACAATTCTGAAGAAACTTAGCAAAAATGGTTGCTCGTTTGTTTACCATCTCTGAAGCTGTACCAGAAAAGAGTGCACCATGCTATTAATATACACATAAATTATGCTCCAATAGCTCTAAAAACTATCGGCGTGATTACAGTAAAATAAAGAAAGAAAAAAGTAACCGAGTGTAGAGTCAAGAGCCTCTTTTTAGCTTGAAGTTACCACGCTTAGGTTGTAAAAGACACTTCACGTGGTAAATTCATGATCAAACTAAACCATGCAGCTTTGCCCCAAGGTGAAATTTTGCCAAATTCCTGCATGATTTCTCTAATCAAATGTAGTATTAAATACAATCCATTAAAGAATGTCCTTCTTTTTTTCCTTTCCAAGTTGCTTCTATACGAGGTCGAGTTCTACACGCATAAGATCAACCTTGAGTTTGCTGAACGACGGAAGATTTATTTAGTAGCAGCAGTATTTCAATGGCAGCTTTTGCAGTTAACTTGTACAAGTTATTAAGATACTTCTTCCTTACATTTTGAATAGTATGCTTACCTTTCATCTTTTTTCGCCAGTTCTTCATTTAAGTGTTTTACCAAATCGCCCTGTTTTCTTTTTTCAAGGACGCTTATCTCATCTTCCCTATTAAGAAGGATTACAAGTAAATTTAATCTGTCGTTGATTCTCTTTTTTCCGTTCCTTTTCGGACTCTCGCCCCGCCCTCTCAATAACCCCCTGGTAAATCTTCATTCTTATTGGAACAAACGGAGTATTACTCGAGCAAACCTAACCTAAAAACGGTCCTAATGGCCACCAAGCATTAAAAAAATGTATTAACATAAATCAACACAAATATCAGTGAGATTTAAACATATGTGTTCTTATTCCCCACTCTGACTCTTCTTCCCTTTGTTTTTCCAACGTTATCTCTAGCTAGTCTGTCGATCTGTTTTCCACAACTCAAAGGGACGCCTTGATTACTCCCTTTCTTGTTGACTGATCCTATTTTGAACAGTTACTTTTTGGTTATGTTTCGATTTCATTTAGTAATTATGGTTTTTTGGGGTGCCTTTAAATGTTCACCGATGTTCTGGTTTCTCAGAACTGATATTCCAGTATTTCCCCTCTGGTGAGAGATGCTGGAAGCTATGGGTTCTCCAACTCGAAACTCGGGATAAGTATAGAAAGGTCACATGTCAATCATCTTGGCAACTGAGTAGGAAAAAATTCCTATTTGAAAGGCACCAAGGCCGAATTATGAACCCTGAAAGACCCAACTTTTACGTAATCGCTCAGATCAGACGAGGCACTCGCAGCAATCTGGGCCATCATATTTATGGAAATTAAGCATTGGCACACGACCATAATCGTGTTCGTCTCGACTTTCGTTTTTCAGCAATCACCCCCGTCGCTTGGGCATGATTTAAGACATGGGGCGCTAATATGTAATTCTATGAGCGAGCTGAAATTATTTACTCCTAAAAGAAGCCCGTAAAATAGGCTCCTCTAGGACCTAACCCCAATTGATGTTATAACTCTCAAACCCAAGATCCACGACCTCTGATGTTTTGAACGCCGCAGGTTTTTTAATGAATTAAAAGTGTCATTATCTATCCTCAAGATTATTCTTCAATCAAGATATCTGCAAATTCATAGGCAGAACTTTAAGAATAAATGAGCGGTTTAAACTTACATACCTGAATAAGTCGAAATTGCTTTTGTCATGCGGCTCCTTTGGCACATTTGTTTGTGCGGTTATCATTCTTTCGCACATTTCTGGCAAGGTGGGCAAAACGTTTTGATAATCATTCAGAACAATCGAAAGAGACCTTAGAAATTTTAACTGACAGTCGCTCATCTCTCCTGAATCCTCAAACTTTTCTCGTGCGCCAGACATTTTCCGTATTTCATCGATGAAATAATCTTATTCGCTCTCGTTTGCACAAACAGACAATTATACACAATTAAAGGGTTTGTAATATTTGTTTTAAGATTCCGGGAAAAAGCGGAAATATGTCACGTGGTATGGTTTTGATTATCTAAAGCAGGTCAAATAAACAACTCGCGAACTTTCAGTTTCTAAGAAAATAATTTACACAATAACTGCTGGACTGTCGATGATAGAGCAGAAATATTTTTACACACCGAGTTGCAAACAGCCAATGACTGAGGATTTTGACATTCACCTACATTGACTCACGATGACTAGACTCTGTAGCGGTTAAAGCACTCGATCGCATCAAATCTACGCCTGGTTGAAAAAATTTATGAAGAGACATGACGTCATCTTTCCAAGAAAGGATAAAAATACGCAGCAAATAATTTTGAACTTTCAGTTTCCGGGAATTTAACCAAAAGAAATATTTCAGAAGACTAATTTCACGTTTTCTTCACAGTATTAGTATTAGCCTCAATATTCACATTGTCGAAGTATTTGAAATACATCTTACAATCGGGATCGAATATGGAGCAAAGTTTTGATGGTAAGTCAGTGGTGTCGCTTGTTGAAATACTAATGAAAAGCGAAACTTCTTATCGTTTAAAATTTTCATCATCATTTCCTTTCATGCTCAGTCGTTTTACATGATGTTATTCAGAGTGTTGAGTTTCTTGTACGGCTGTTAATTGCTTGTCTTAAGTTTCCCTGTAAGCCCTTAGCATCACAACAATTAAATCTTTCGTTGAAACTGATATCAACACATTTTTTTGCTGTTTTAAGACATGCGAGAGGATGGCGATCTGTTCCTTGCTTCAAGTAAAACATACATTGGTTTAGTTGCAATTGACTTTGGCACAACCTTCAGTGGTTTTGCATTCGCCTTCAACTACAAAGAAGGCGAGAAAGGTATCCATATGAACAAAGAATGGGGAGCAGATCAGGGCTGTCCTACACTCAAGACACCAACTTGCCTTTTGCTTAATCCAGACAAGAGTTTCAATTCGTTTGGCTATGAAGCACAAGACAGGTTTGCAGAGTTAGAAGAAGAGGAAGCTAGAGAATACTATTATTTTGAGAGGTTCAAGATGACTCTCCACCACAACGAGGTAAGTTTATCAACCTTCGGCCCCGAAATACTAGTAATTATAAAAGAGGGAAATTCCTGAATAGTGAGTAAATATTTCCAGAAGTGAACGAGCTTTACAACGGCAGTTAACCGTCAACAGTAATAACAACAAAACATCTCATTCCTCATCTTAGTTATATTCATTTATTTGTTCGGTCCATTGGTTTATGGCAGTTGTTCATCACAAATTAATATCCATTGTTTTGGGATAGCAATTAAACTTGAACAGTACTCTGGAGGCCAGCAACGGGAGACACATGAAAGCTTTGGAAGTTTTTTCACATTCAATAAGTTACCTCCACAAAAGAGCTCTTGAAGTCATAAGAGAGAGGACTGGGGATGAACATTTCACGTCCCGTGACATTCAGTGGGTCTTGACAGTGCCGGCAATCTGGAAGCCAGCCGCGAAACAGTTTATGAGAGAAGCAGCTTACAAGGTATGCAATCCTCGAGGTATCTTAAGAAGTTTTATTGTTTAACGAAAAAACATTTAAAACCCCCAGTACGAAAATTAACAAAACGATAACAATTTGATTTGAATCATTTTTTCAAAAATTTATTTTACTTCATCTAAAAATCAATTTTCCTCTAATTTAATTTGCATGAATAAATATGTACAAATTATAGTTTCTATTTGGCGCTAAATATTGCATGGATAGTTTCCACGGACGTTACGTGCACCGTTAACGAGAGTAAAGCTCCAAAAGTTTAGTACAATCAAAGTATATCAAAGCCGCTATCAAAGTCATCAAGTTCTTCTTCTCAATTTGACATTAGTTTTCCATTTTCAGAGTCTAAAGTAATTTTTGCATTCTTCATCTGAGGTGCCTCATTCATCACATTACAGATGTGAAAAGAGAAGGCACACATAAATATTTATACGTTGAATGTGTCTTCCACCAGGCAGGTGTAGGCTCTTTATCTAACCCAGAGCAGGTAGTAATTGCCTTGGAGCCGGAGGCTGCTTCCGTCTACTGCAGAGAACGAAAGATGAGGGATTTTTTTTCAGAGAGTGGGAGCAACGAAGCATCAGTTTCTGATACTATTGCCCACACTGATGTGAAGTACGTGGTGGTAGACATTGGAGGTAAATAGTTAAAGCAATCGTGAAGAATGTTTCAACGGAACAGGTTAAAAAGAAAATGTCGCCTTTCTGAATATTTTTTCAAATCATGATTGTCCTATGGGTCGGTTTGACAAAAATGATATCCGTGGAAGCGGAATTTTCACCCCTTTGTAAGGCCTATGACCTATTTAGGAATGTAGGTGAGTTTTTCCCAAAATTATGAAATACCGCACAAGTAGGCGCGAAGAAACCGAAAAAAATGTAAACCACAGGATATCTTATCATTGCATTGTTTTAGTTTGTCACAAAGTTAGGTGGAACTATCTGACAACCCCCCCCCCCTCTCTCTTTATGCATCCTTCAAGGATTTCCCTCCCAAGTTATCCCTAAGGTTTCCCCCATTACCCTTTTCTTATTACTAGTATTCATATTTCTAGGAGGAACCATGGATGTTACCGTACATCAAATTCAAATGAATGGGTCGATCAGAGAGCTTCACAAAGCAACCGGAGGTCCTCACGGCGGAGACAAAGTTAATGAACAATTCAGGTCCCTTCTAGAGTCAATTTTTAGTGCAACATTTGTTAAGAATTATTCCCAGAATAATCCCGTTGATTGGCTTTGCCTCATGAATGATTTCGAAGTAAAGAAACGAGGAAAACGGACCTGTGAAGGTGGCACAACGAGAATTCGGTTGCCAGCAAGTTTTGTGAGTAAATTTTCCAGTAAAAAAGGCTGGGATATTAATTCAGTTATCGAACAACGTTACAGTTTGTCGGAAATCAAAGTTCAGCGTAATGAATTCCTCTGCCTTGACCCACAAATCATGAGACAACTGTTTGAGCCTGTCCTCGATGGAATTATCACTCACCTCTCCAACCTGTTCGCCAGAGAGGAATTGTCTGAAGTTAAATTTGTCTTCCTGGTTGGTGGATTTGCTGATTCGCCACTGCTCCAGGAGAGAATAAAAAAACATTTCCACAAAAGCCTTCAAATTATGGTACCGCAGAATGCATCTCTTGCAGTTGTCCAAGGCGCTGTGATATTTGGCCAAAAACCACACGTATTTGAATCTAGAATTATGACTTCGACTTACGGCATCCGTATACACAGATTGTTTCTTGACGGGCTGCACCCTGATTCAAAGAAGGAAATCATAAACGGAATTCCCCGCTGTAAAGATGTCTTCTTCAAGTTTGTTAAAGTCAACGAAGTCGTCAAAGTTGGAGAAAGACGTAGATTCACAGGCTTTGCTCCTCTGAGAGGGGCGGAAAAGCAAATCAAAATTGATTTCTATCAATCGGATCGCGACGATGCGGAGTTTGTTACAGATGCTGGCGTAGAAAAGACACCTGGTCGAGGATTGATACTCGAGACGCCCGAAGCTTGGAAAACTAACGACATCGAGATCAATTTGTATTTTGGTGGAACGGAAATGAAGGTCACAGTGGTAAACCTCACCAGTAATACACAATCAACAGCCTGCCTAGACTTTTTGACAATTAATCAGTAATTGATGGAAATATATGAGTATTTCAAAGGATTCTGAGAGTTAAGAAAACTTTTTCTTTTATTCATGTTTACTCAGTTTAGTTTTAGCCAGGAATTTCGTTGTTGACTGCTGTTAAGAAACGTCTTAATCAAGTCGCCAAATTCTTAATTCCTATCCTACATTTAGGTCTTGCACAGTAGAAATTTGTTGGATACTGGCACTCCCAGGGGATCTCTCTTGATCTAATGCAGCAGACATTTACTAACTTATTTGACTGACCACGTCAAAACTGCTCTTAACTGCGCTAAAGTTTCAGAGAAATGCTGAATATTTCGCAGACTCGATGGTCTCCCTTTCACTGATTATCTCACTTTTATAACTAATTTTGAAAAGCTGACTTCTCGCCCCTGTCGAAGCAAAATGAAGTCCAAAGAGCGGGCAATGTTCAATCAACAGCTAAAAATTCTTGACTGCGGTCAATTTACTCTGAAGAACTCTTTGTTGATAACGCGGTGTTTCACTTGGCCGTCAACTCAGTAACAGAATCTCAAAAAAAACTAATTAATTAATCACTTGGATCCAATCAGTAATTCTCATCTGCTTTAATAATAATATCGAAGAAGATAAAATAATTGTTCATTCTTTCAAATATGGCTAGGGAACCGCTAATGGAGAGGCAACGTTACACAACGTGCTCCATATTCTTATTTATATACATTATATTTTGTAGAATGGCTTAAAACAATGTGAAGTTTGTAAACTTAGAGTAGAATAAGCAACAGTTTCATGACCTTTCATGGTGTGGATCACGCGCTCAACTACCGGCAAACAATTTTAACTAAATATCAATTACGCATCGGTTAGACTATGTGGTGTCTTAAATTCAATAGAATCCAGATGCTACGATAAACAACTATGACCATTTAGAATTCATTGTAAATTAGATTAATTCTACAAGAAACAATATCTTGAGAATACTGTTATGGACCACAAAACTATTAGAAGAATATTTAAGTTGTGAATTGCAAGTTTTTCTCGGCATGAAACCAGAAGTTGAAATCATTTGCATAAGTTCTCCGATAAAAATATACTTCTTAGAAACACTAGAGCGTGCAACTTTCTTGCATGATGTGAAGTAAACAACATACGGGAAACTTTCGTTACCCAATAAAATCCAAATCAATAAAAAGCGATGACGTTGTCTTTTTATTTTGGGCCCAAGTGCTTTTCCGAGAAATCGGGGAAACATACGTCAACTTGACCTTTCAGTGCAGTAGCCAATAAAAACGTTTTTCAATATGGAGATTAGGGTTTCTTTTTCTGAGAAACAGCACTATGCCGAAGGGAAATTTCCCTTAGCGATCGGAATACTTTTTTTGGAAGGGAAATTTTGAGAGATTTTCATTTGGATTGCGAAAGGAGCGACAAAAACGTTTTACACGCTCAGTAACTTTGAAAGAAGAGTGAAGCGACACAAATGGCACTCAAAGGTAAAGATTTAGATGTGTTTGAAGAAATGTAAGACATATTAAGTCTGATCTTTCTCCTTTCCGCTTGTATTTCGTGAAATGCCAAAATATCTGGTCTTAAATCAAGTAAATAGAGTGCCTCAATTTTTTGGCGTCGACCACCATAATACCGTTCTAGTTATGATCTCAACAGTATAAAGAAACCGGCAGTAGTTGTGGCAAAAATTGAGATAACGATGTTTTAGCCGGCCATATTTTGAGTCACCTATCTTAACGTTTAAGACTAACTAAATGGCCCAATTAACAATTATTCCTAGAAGTGGAGGATAATAGTGGTGGATATTTACCGAGCAGAGAAGTGGCGAGGTAAATATCGACAAAAGAAGAAGGGAAAAAAAGGTGCGAAGAAAAGGAAACCATAAGGGTGATGTGTATTTTGTTTATCTAACACAGCACTCGAAGGCTCGCTTCTCTACTCTCCGAAACGTTCATATCTGGCAGTTGTTGCAATTGATTTTGGGACAACCTATAGTGGATTTGCATTTTCATTCATCAAAGATAAAGGAAAGGATGCCATCTTCATGAACAAGGACTGGGCGAATGAACAAGGTGGCCAAACGAGCAAAACGCCAACATGCCTGCTACTTAAACCAGATCTGTCGTTTGACTCGTTTGGTTATGAAGCAATAGAGAAGTATTCCAGTCTTCAAAATGAAAGCGAAGAGAAGGAGTATCTATTTTTCAAACATTTCAAAATGGCACTTCATAGTAACGAGGTTAGTGATTTAACTTCGTGTCAAACTATTTCAATTGCATATTTACATAAAGTTAAAGGCGAAAATTTCTGACACCTAAGCTTCTGTGTTTGTGTCTCAGTAAAGTCTTTTAAACTGATAAAACTTACAAAACTTTGATATGGTTATTATCATAGATTTTTTTCCCAGAGCACCCACTTTTTAAGGACTTTAGACTTACAGTCAAAACCCAGCATCCAACGTTCTAAGGAAATCTTTCTACAAAGGTCACCTTTCTGTGAGAATATTGATTTCAACCTCAGTTCAACCTCGGTTGAACACCAACGTTGCATAGATAACTTCAAAGTGACATTTTCTGCTTCTTTTGTGGTACTATTCAAATATTGCCACGCGTTCGATAGTAAATAAGCAACTACATTGCAAAGCTGTTGAGTACGCTGCTGTTCATGTCACTCGTAAACATGAACTAGAATAAACTTTTTTTGGAACCAAACAGAGTTTGATCCTTAACGTCCGAAATAAGTCCACCGAAGCAGTTCCTGTGTACCAGGAAATCGTGACGAGTTTCTGTTTCCACCGTTGAGGGCGCCTACCGAGTTATTTTCCTCCGTTATTGTTGCATTCCCTGCAAAAGTCCAGTTATGGCGGAAAACAAATGATCATAAAACACCACTCAATCAATAACCTTGTTATTTATGGATCGATATTTTTTTTGATAATACATGATTTATTACAATAAAGTTCGGATATAACGCGCGCTGTCATTGGTTGAAAGAGCGTGCTCTATGAGAGTATAGAGCATAGAGCTGAGCTAAAGCTGTCACGCCATCTACCAAATTGTACCATGTTCGACCTTTTCCGGGACTACTTTTTAGCTTTTTTCCGATTATTGAAAGTGAAATTTCGGAACAAGCGAGCCAGCAAGTAGCAACAGAAGAACCAAACAAAGGTTTGTAAACTTACCAGGCGCCGTAATTTACGTTATTAGAACGTGAGCAGATACGAAAAACCTCAAAGGAAAAACAAAATAGACATTCCGAGATTTAAAGATTGATTGACGCTCAGTTAGATT